AAATATGAAGATTCGTAATATTAAGGCACACATATAACCTGTTTGCCAAAGTGGTGCAGAAACAATCCAATAGTCATCCTTAAGTCAGTTAAGAATTTTATTGGTAATCAATTTCGAAAAATATACTATAGAAATAAATAAATTTACAATATTTTACATAAAAATGAAAAATGCAAAGGCAAAAAAGGAGAAATACAAAAATAGATACAAAAATAAATACAAGAATGGCGATTTCCATCAAATGTGCCAAAAATCGTCATTTGCCTTCCTTGTTTGAATTACTGAGCCCCTTTTGCTTTATCTTCCGTTAAATATTGTAGCAATTAGAATCTAATAAAGTAAACTTGGAAGAAAGTAGATAGTCACTACCATTTATTATATTGTTGAGTCACGCAACTGTTCTGGAGCACTTTTTGAACTAGTTATGCACTGTATCAATTCCAGAGTCTTGGGAGAATCAAGTCTGGGGATAACTAAACTTTTATTGACTGGTTTTTCGGTTATTCGCTCCCTAGTGATGCAGTGATAACAGAAAGCAATTTAATTGATTATTTGCCATTTAGGGGTGATATAAATGACTGTAAAGTAGTTATATGGTATTAGTTTTAAATGTTTTCTAGCTCGCAGTCCGCCACCTTGTGATCGTAACTATCTGGAATCTTTTTTATTGCTCTTGATACTTGCTTAAAGCTCTTGACCTGATCGAATCAATTAGCCACAAGAAATCAATTGTTAAATTCTCTTAATATCAACATATAAACTAGTGTTGTCTACATTACATTTATAGCACCCGGTATGTAAACTAATGTAAATATGGACCGATGTTATTAAACTTTCTGCTCTCTGCTTATTTCAGTTTAGCGTTTGATCAAGAACGTTAATCCTATATTACACACCACAGCGATTAAAGAAGCTCGCTGTATCTTCATATTAAACGCCATAAGAAAACCACTGAGAACATGTATTAGCAACCGAGAGCTAGCATTTAAGAAAGGATATTACTTCATTGTTGGCAACTATTTGAGAAAGGTATATAGTCATCTTTTGAGATTATTTGAAAGAAACATGATATAATTAAATATCTTCATATCGTTCTCCGTTTCAAAGTTTTCCATTGGTTCTTAGATTCACGAAAATGACGCAATCTGAATGCACTAATCTGTATAATGTGCATACCACTGGACTAGGAGGAAAACTTTCTTTTTTAAAGGGCAATTTCGTCCGCTGTCTCGCTTTGAATATATTGACAATACGCTCATTTGATAACGTCATATTATTACAATATTACAAGATCACTTATAAATAGCAGTCCATCAATCTGTCTTTCCAACAAAACGAAAAATAAAATATAAAAGCATACCGTACATTTGTGATCAAATCCTTCAGGCAAATATTGAGTTCCCTAGGTTAAAAAACAAGGTATTGTTTCGTGGTTGCAATAGCACGAGAAGCATTCGCTGAATAAGAATTTTACTGACTGTAGATTCAAAAGCATCGACTGTACATAGACAATTCCTATATCATATTTTCTGCTGTCACTTCGGCCAAAATAAAAAAAAAATTCGACAGCGTTGTACGTGCCGCTATTTCACCTTCACAACTCATAAGCACAACGAAACATGTCATCTTATCAGACTAATTTATGGCATCAGAAGAAACCTTTGTTCTTTTAACCATGCCCTCGTTTGGCGTGATGAAATGGAACTAGGAAAGATTCTAGGTCAATGCAAATCAGATGAATGTGCATACATCACCTGGGGATAAATAACTTGATTGATTCATATGCTCTCCGGAATTAAATTTGTTACGATAGGACAAGTTTGTATTTCTATCAGTATTTATAAAAGTATACATTTTGTTTTCTTGGGCATACATGTAAGGATTTTTATACTTTATTTAACATTGCTTTTCTTCATTTATCTGTAGAAATGACCAAATCGCCTTTTAGTTTAGAAAATGTTATGTTCTGTTTTCCTTTATTTTTGTTTGACGTAATAAGAAGAAAAACTAAGGCTGAGTAACTCTGTCTAAGATACAAAGAACAATTTATATCTCTTCGGACACAGTAAACATTCGTTTTCTGGATTATTAGGGTGTAAAAGAATCCCTTCCGCTCGAGGAATCTCATTTATTTCATCTTATTAATTCAAACGGATCAAATTGCTCTTTCACTAAAGAACCCAGTGTTTGTACTAAAGATGAAATTTAAATAAACATCACATTTACTATCTAAAGGTTTGCAAACGCAATATAGGGAAAGCTGTCATATCAACCAAAAAAGGCATACAGTCTTGAGCTATTTAAGAGCAAGGAACAACTTATAAAAGATTAGCAGTAGTATTTATTTTCATATGAATCATACTGGTTTGGATCAATCACACATTGCATGACTTGTTGCAAAGGAAATAGGAATATTTCGCCATGTTTCTCTCGGTACTTGAATGAAATGGTAGATTATTGTAGATGTTCGAATTAATTGAAGTAATTGTTTTCTTTTCGT